TATAAAACAAAATAGGAAATAAACCTCCTTTTTTTACATATTACTGCCATAAGGAGAATGCAAAATTCTGCTTTGTTCTATAAGCTGTGCTCTAGTAAATATGCGGGCCCCAAGTGGTGATAAATGGAAGGCTAACGTAGTTCTTGGTATACAGTTGACGGACACCAAATACATCCAAAATGCTAGTAGAGCCTTGTGATGGTGATGGTCGACCCTCACCCGAAAGCGGCATTATGAACGATATGCAAATCATTTTAAGGCGTCCGGATGATAACTAGTCTTGTGCTGAAAGGCCTCCTTTTGAAAAGAAAACACAACTTTTCTATCTGCACGATTAAGAACTCTTAAAGATTCATATACGCGAAATATCTTAGCGGCAGTCTGTGCCAATTTTCCCCATTTCCAATAATAAGCCACAGTTAGATGCCGAGATATTCTCTTCTATATTCTATTTTCCATATTCTATTCCCTTCAATAAGTACAACCCTTCCTATAAATTAAGCAATATCGGATACCGCTAGTTGCGGAGACTGTAAATAAGGCACGGATCCGTATTCTTGTAACGTATATTTTCTTACTCTAGGGAAAAGTCAAACAAAACAAAAATTGGTAAATGACGATCACGAGTGATGCTGCTTGTGCCAAACAGAGCATATATTTTCTTCGTCCTATGCATCTAACATATGTAATTATAAGTTACAATAATTGCCTTCTCTTAGTATGATACATCTTACAAATCTAGAAGAATTTGTCCTGCATGACCTGATCTATCGATGTTCCACTGAGCTTCGTTGGCTGGCCTATAACACTAATCTAAGAAACTGCACGAATTCAAATAAGCCTATAATTCACATTGAAAATTTATTCATAATAAACTTCTCCCGGTGTAATCACCACTATCTTCTTATATTAATAGTAGGTAAATACAATTCTCATATATGTATATATACTTTTTGTTACCGTTCGATTCGACGGGCGATCAATTTTACAGGCTGCTTTGACAGGCACAGCCTAGACGAATGGGTGGACGATTCATTTCCTTCGAATTCTCTAGACAATACCACTTACAGGCCATACGTGCGCCTAACCTCGTTCTAAGTTTACCTTTGACCCTTACTTCCCTCCTTCGATTCGAGCTCGATCAACCATTAACCGACTGGTTGCCCTTGCTTCTTTTTTGTTCGTATTTTTCGTCCGGTAAATAAGTCATCAATCGTTAGCTCAGACGGCGCAAGTGTCTATGCGCTGATTCGAACCTAGTTCACCACGTGCCCTTAGGTTTAGAAGACGAACACGTTACCCACTGGGCTATCACGAGGATGGATTCTCCTGTTTTTAGTTTTGTTTAAGGATACCGTTGTGTGTATTAGTTTCACCGTCACATACGATCATGTCCTTACTTGTCCTGACAGCTCAAATCGTACACGGATGTTTTTATGCGCACGATGACTTCCGCAAGAATTTCACTTCTATCTTCCCCTTCATCGTTCAGCTTGGAAATTTAGTACGTAATATATTCACCATTGCCACAGTCCTAGAGGGTTCATAATTATCAACATGGGTTCATACATATATAAAAACGAGTGTGTACCAGTTGCTATTTATGTGAACGAACGAATTAATGGGCAACGAATGCGCAGTTGTTCTCGTCATATCCTAATAAAACAACTTGACATACTTCACAGCTTTTTCTGGAAGCTTGGTTTACTGCGACCGCAGCCATTTTGGAAACTTCCCTATATTTCGTAAACGATCAATTAGTTCATAAACGTTAATTATCGGTAACTATGTAGATTTAATGTCTTTTGTTTGTTCGTGATACAAGAACATGTTTTTTCGACAGGCTGTTTTTGCAGGAACGGATTATTTATCGTCTCTTCAATATGCTTGCTGCCATAGCGTTTGCTTGGACCCTCTGTGTGATATCCCGTTGACCGTTAGTCTACAATCATCCATGTAATGCAGCATTTGCTGTTTGCGGTGACCTTACGAGAAATTGTCATGAGAAGTTTCGAAGGCCCTAAGTTGAGGTGATTGAGGTAGTTTAATTGAAAGCAATCATAGCGTTCTCAAGCGTATTCGTTACAGAGAATTATAAATGTACTTGACAAAAAAGAGCTTACTCCTACAATGCCGACTTAACCCCTCACAACTCATGTTTAATATTCCAATGAAAAGCCGTAGTATCATTTAAGGATATTGCTAGGATACTTGCCTTATATGTTATATAGTTCGTCTAAGTAACATTTTGAATTTTTCACGCTCTGCCATGCGAACGGTATCGAGTATTTCGTAAACGGCATAGTTTCCCGATATGTACTAGGACAAACTGTTGGCTAGGAAAAACCAAATAACCTATTCAGGCTACGTGGCATACTTTAATTGTTACACTGGGCAAGTTATTTTGCATGGCACGATTTGATCCACACCGCAAAAGTAACTGCGCGCCGAACCAATGATGCAAAATTAACTTAATTGAAAATTTGCTAGATCTCAAGTGAAGGCCGAGTCTCGACCTCGCGGGTGTGTGTCCAACACTACCGATCGGTGAAGAATGTTCAATAGTATAATTCTGATTTCAGCTTCTCAATATGAATCGATGACTCGGGAGCCCACAGTTTAAACTACCGTATGTTTCTTGTGTAATATGCTCAAACGTTTGCGTCAATTGTTTTAGTTATCATAAAGGCCATTTGTACAATCGACGTCCTGGAAAGGTAGATTTTTATCGTAAAATAGTGCACAAAAATGAGATAGTCGGGTCGTATACAAAAGGCGCAATTTCGGCACTGTCGGACGTCGGTGCACGTCCGCGGCCTACGTTACAGTATGAGCTGTATTAAGTATTCACCTAATATTTATGTTTGATATACGTTGGTAAAAATCTTTCTAATTTGTTTCAGCTATTTTGATCGATTAAGTATTTATTTATTTATTCAAAAACCCACGATGGCCTTCGCTTCGTTCAACGGCACTTAGCTGCCTTTCAACACTTCTCATGTGATGATCGTGAGTCTGACAAAAAATCATTCATAATCTAGTGAATGGATGAATGTGGCTATTAGTTATAAAGTGAAACATTGTGACCTGAAGCTTTGTTTTCTCTTCTTTGAAAGTTCCTGTATCAGGTCGCTTCCAGTAACATACCTTCGGGCAGTAACGTGTTTCGAGATCTCTTTTCTTGTTGTTGATTTGTTACGCTGGGGAAGGCCAATATTAATAATAGGTCAGAAGGCTCATGAATAACCCATTCTCTAAAAATCGAGCAATTCAGGTCTGTGTTTCTGGTGTGCAATATTCCTGTCTCCGACGTCTCAAAGCTATCCTGTATCACTATACACATAAGTAACTGGTATACACATAGAGTTTCATCGATTTTTGCTGTAGCCTTCAATACATCGTGTATGTATAGATCATATGTACACTTGGGTCGGGCTGCGTGTTATAGCAGAACCTCTTTCAGGCTAATCTGATAACAGGGAGGCATGGAATGGGAGGGTAATTCTAAAGATTTGTCGTCTTCATTAACTGCCCTTTTCTTAAGCAGAGTTCTAGTAGAACAAGCACTTTCGCTGCCTGCCATGTTAACACACATATTTCTGTCCGTTTCGTCATTTTCAAGTAATTGCCGATCGATAACTTCGTTTACGTGTGGCACGATTGACTCGTGGTCGGTGGCGTCTTCGAACTCGCCGTCGATCGGGCTGTCATTGAAAGCGTACAGTTCTGGCTCCCCTGTATCTAGCATATGGTCTGGCCACCCTAGTCTCTCATTTAGTAGTTGCTGATCGCGCAGTAATTGTTCCTTACCTATGATCATGGGCTCATGTCAGATGGATGCTCGATGTTGACGCTGCATTGCGGCTGCAGCAAAGCCAATATGCGGGGGGTGTGGGCGATGGTAAAGCGGCTCGTCAGGATCGCCATGTGCTATTATGGGATAATAGAGGTTACTCGCCATAGTCCCACAGCCGCAACCTGCTGCAGGAAGAAGCGTGTAGGGTAGCGTCGGCTGTAATAGGGTTTGATCGGAATAGTCTAGTAATGAATCGTGATGCATATGCTGAGGCTGCTGTATGGCGTCCAGGTGATCGATGGCTGAGTATGGCCTTCCTCCAGGAGCAGGGGATGCCCCTCGTGATGCTGTTCGAACTTGACCCCCGCTAACGGGCACACTCTGTAATCCATTGTTGTCAAGGCTAATTCCTTCCATTCCTATAGGGTCGTCACTTTGCCGCAATGAATGGAGTGGACGATGCTGACCTGATGGGAGGTCCGGTACCGCGGACAGCATATGTACCAGCTGCGAGGGTGAATACTTGACTGATAAGCGTCGCGCTATTGCCAAGGAAGACCGCCGGGAGCTGCATCGGATTAACACCACAAGTACAGGATTACAAAAACAAAAAGTACAAAGATCGTTAGTAATTCTTAAAAATTAACCCTTCAAAGCAAAGACGCATGTGTCAAACGCCAGCTATGGGGCTACTATTCGTTATCAATTCTATTACAAGTCTTACTTTTCGTGCATAGTAATTTTAGTTAGGCACATCTAACATGTTTAAGCGGCACGCTTTACTGGATAAATTAAGCACCGGTAATATAAGTTATCGTCGCCTGTGCGTAATTGAACCATATCTCTCACTGAAATTGACCACTGGTCATAATAATAATCTATTGATAACCATTTTACCATTGTTATTAGTAGTAACATTATATTGTTAGATGTATCGTTCTTCAATCCACAAAAAAAAAATCGAATTTATGTACTTGTTTATTAACAAATAGAAACGCTTTATTCTAATAAGGTAACAAAACTTGTTTGAAATTGCCAAACTATCATAGGCCAGTTTCATAATTTCATATAGTAAGTTTCCAGTTAACACTTCCTGCATCCTGTCATATAATTTGACTATGTTATTGTTATGATTACCGTTGTTATCGTAATTATCAAAGTCCTCTGTACCTGGCAGCAGCCGCAGCAGCGGCTTGTAGCGTTTTTCGATAGACGGCGTTGTTGTTGGGTCGTCGATGGGCATAGCATGTACACGAGCACACCGAGGTAATATCGCTGTTAGAACCGGTCGCGCTGGCTCCGCCTAGTCCACCGCCCAAATTGCCGAGGTTTGTTCGATAACCGCCCATATGGCCTGCGCAGGTTGTAAAAATGAGGAAAACATTCACGAAAATCAACATGATAGCGATGTGCCTACTAATGAGCAAAGTAGGTTACCATTGATCGTACCGATGACTGATCGGAAATTGTAATATTATTGCGCATGGCGGTTTCTAACTATTGCGTATCGCAATTTCTCAATCAGCTAAAAGCATCGACGACTCCAAAGAAGTGTTCGGTCTAGGCCGAATAATAAACATGAGTGTACATGCACATAGTGCTTAACTAAAATACCACGAAACCATCAGCAACGTCAATCAGAACGAAAGTAAGTAAACTTTTTTTTTCTTATAATGTAGCACTATGTAAAAGCAGTGATCAGCCAACGATCACGTGATGCCGTTAAAACTACAACAATTGCCAAATATTGGCAGGTGGCCAACGTATTCAGGCAATGCATAGGCACATGTAAGGCCTATGTTGCTCGCTTTTTAGCCATATGTATTATGAAACTATTCTAGAGAATAGATTTGAAGGACAACTATACCAAGATAATTCGAGGAACAGAAACCACCTACACCCTTGTTGAGAAGGCACTCGAACGCTAGACGCGTACGAGCTAATATGCTACATCAGTTAGACTGATCATCCTACTGATGCGGCGAAATTCCCGTCGTGGCTTGTTCCATTCCATAGAACAAAATTGTTTGCCAAAACAAAATTCATTTCCACCCGACTATATACATATGATATATGGTAAATGCGAACAAATATTATAGATTTATTCGTACTCATGTACGGACAGTGCATACATTGTTGGGGAAAAGGATTCTGTCTTACCGGAAATAATGGATCCGTTTGCAGTAATGACGTCACCCTCGAGGCGCACGGCTTCCAAGGCTGCGTTAATAGCCTCTGCCTCATCGCGCCGTTCGTCTTCAGTGTTCATCGTGAGGAATCGAAGAACAAGCAGATTCATGGCCGCAGATACCACTGATAAACCAAACAGGATAAACACTAACGAAAAGGCCACGTATTCTACCCGTTGGAGCGAATGCTCTTTAGACTGAAGTGCTACATAATCTCCGAAACCTGTGGAGATTTCGAAAAAACAGATCGAAATGAAAAATGTACGTATTAGATTGTGGCCAAGCAGGCCTGCGTCTCTTGTTCTGGATTGCTTGAAGATCCCTTCTTTTTCAGTTCTTCTAACTTGTATTACCGTAACACGTCCTACCATGAACCGATAAGTGCCCTGTCGTGCTTCAGTCGATGTCGAAGTTTCTTTTGTTTTTATTAGATCGGCGGCCAATAGTTTATGTGTACAACTTTACTACTCAGCAAAACAAAATCATTCTATTTAAACGTCAAACCAGATTCTCTATCCTGAATAAATTTCACGTTCGGCGAGTTAGGACAACCGCTGCACAAGAAAAATTACTGTTTATCATTTTCAGGCCAGCTCTTACTTTTGCCTTCGCTGATACTTCAGTAGGACTTATAGGCTGGTAGAAGAGTATGGCAACATATCGATTTTTCATAACTGTATGAAAATGGCACGTAGCGGTAATTCCGTTTTAAGACCTCCTTTTTTTGCAAATGCAAAAGAGCCAATATCAGCTGACCGTTGCAGTCGGTCTGAACGTAACTTTTACTTGTTTAGATGTTCGCGCGCAACACACGCTCTTCCGGATTGCTTATTAAATTTGCTTGATGAAATATGTTCTAAACTGTTTCCCTGAGGCCTGGACTTCGTAAGAATAGGTCAACTATGCCAAAGCTCTCTTTAGGGCAAATGTCGTAAGTCGACATATAGTTTGTGAAGATTCTCGCAAGGAGCTATAATCAAAGTATCTATTCCACGCATACACTAATCAAAAATGTGGTAACGTGCTTGCTTATTAAATCTGAACAAAAAAAAAGGGCAGCTTCAGATAAAAACAGCTTGAAACACTTAACGTAATTATGAGAGATACCTAGCTAAGAGGGTATCTACGTTTGCTGCGTGTATAATCTCCCCTTCGTTAAGAGAAATAGGTTAGTGTCAGCGTTGATCTCTGTATGTATTTGCACTATATACTGTGCATCGGTCTATTCGTATGGAAATTTTAGGCCACGCAAGAAACGTTTACGTTCGCCGAGAACATATTGAGTGGTTTAATTATGATCCACTTACGAAGAACTGCTTTGGGTATCTTTTTTTTTCAAAAAACACAATCTACTTTCCAAAACAAGTCATTATGAGATAGGCAGTCACGTCACCGCTGTTCCATTGCCACGGGTGTCCATGTCTTTTTTGGAAAAATTTATAATTGTAAGGTTGTCGCTCATAGAAACATCCTTGGAAAAATACAATATCAGAAATCTTAGCATGTCGCAGTTAGACAGGCATACGCCTAACTAGATGCTTCTCTCGATTCCCTTCTTCAGCTATCTTATTTGAATGGGGGAAATGTAGATTTGGCATTTGGGTGCACCGTTTTGTGTATGTCTCCCATTATTACTTGGGGAACTTTTGGGAAGTTCCCTTGCTGGAACGGTAGCCGGCACCAACAAGCGAGATAAATACATAGCCGTCTTACCGCATGTCCAGCGAAAAGCGGACACAAATTCCTAGTTCTTTTTAAATACCCCGGCCATGTCCTGTATCGACCAAAGCAAACTTAAGGCAAAAGCTAGCATTTTGTGAGCTCCATTGATTGATTCTTCTTGGTAGTGTTTTCACAGAGTTGAAAAGAGCAGCCTTGACGCTTGAGCGGGACGTGCTTGAAGGTAACCAGTTTTCATATCTCGTTGTAGACGGCATTAACATATCGTTCTTGTTCAGCTTTTATTATTCAACTTCGCGTAGGTTTTGTGACCATTACACACAAATTTGCGCAGGGAACTTTTCCAAAGATATACAAACGATGCATACATAGGAACACGATATAATCCAATCTTCAATCGTATCTTCATCGATAACATAATATTTCTACCGAAAATAGGCCACTTACATAACTATCAATGGTTTCTACCTGAAGAGAGAGGATAAATATATGAAATTTGTGTACAAATGATAAAATTATGAGCGCCAAACGATTTTGGCATGAAGTATCACGCATGTACATGTATTATAAGATCGCGCTTAGTCCGTGCTTGCCCGATTCTATTTGCTAGCCCGAGAGCTGTTCGATATGCTTCGTCAGCTAAAGCGAAATATCTAGACATCTACTCGTAACCTTCAACTGAATTATATTTGTGAGATTGTGGAGGCGGCTCAGGCATTTTCTTTATTAGAGAAATAATTTCATGTCATACAAACGAAGCCAGATTTTTCGATACGGTGATACAAAGGTTCGCGCACATGTTTGTTTTATGGGATAGTCGGTAATGATGGACTTCAAATTACTTTTAATTATATATATATATATATATATATATGGGAAAAGAGGTGATGCGTCTTCTCTCGAACGATGAGTATGCGATCTTTGGCGATCGAGCATACATCACAAGAAAGCGAAAGACTCTTGTACACACAAATAAGCACTTGCACGACTGGGCCTTATTTTCCGGGTTGGTGAAGTAAAGATGTGTCGAAAAGTCGAGGTTTGTTTATATATCCCCCACGGATATTCTAATGCTATGTATGATAAATGAAAATGATTCGAAAGTTTGACAGCTTCTCTGAATCCCGCGGACAGGGCAAGCTACCTACCTATATCGGTAGATTAGTTCCCAGCCATCGGCTAGTGTTCGGCCGATTCTGTATATAATTGCAGGACAAGCTGTGGCTTCTAGAGTCTGGCCATGTGCCCTTTAAATACATTACATAGATAAGCCATTAACTGGACCGAATTATTGATCAATTGAAACAAATAATACGATTCTAGCAACGTACTCGAAGTTTACGATGTATCAAGCTTAATAATAAATGTGTTTTGTATAAATTACGCAATGCAAACTCGATCTCACTTGAATACAATAGACTATCTACAATAGATCGTGCGTTCGTATCAAATTTAATAGAGTTTATTGAGAAATTGTTCGGATTGATCGCTTTTGGAGTCGTTGACTCATTTCTTTATGATCGTAGTTAGTTTCAGACGACATCAAAAACATTCTAATTTTACCACAACAAAACAACCTAACTAATTTCAGTAAATCACTTTGAAGGCAGGCTATTTCTGCAGTCGTGAACGACTCGCAAAGTATCAGTTTAGTATAATTAAGTTACTTGTTTCTGTATACAGCTTGATCATATTCCGCTTAGATATGCATGTATTTACCTAGATAGGTTTCATCGCCTCGAACGCAATGGTCAAACAGCGACGTTTCCTGAATGATGCAGGAACATAAAAATACAGCTATGAAGGGATTTCATGCAAGAGAAAGTACTGCAGACGCAATTTTATCAAATATTAACATAAACGTATGCAAATATAACTGTCTCATTGAATAGCAAGTAAATGGTTGGGTCTTTACAACCCAATAAAGATAAACCGCGTAAGTAGTTCTGGAAACTAGTGACACAAAAAGAACGTATCCAAAATGTTCTTTTGTTTGCAGAGCGCCCCACACGAGAATGAATCATCATCTGCTACTGGGAGGACTGAGACTGTTTGTGGATCGTTCGATCTAATGATTTGAGTTTATTTCATCGTTCGTCTGTCGTACGACAGGTCTCAGGTCGGCTGATATCTGCGGACTACTCAAGGTAGAACAGGTTATATATCACTCTAGGTTTTTATGGGACCGGTAGGTTATAGACCTCAATCACGATAATAACACGGGTCTATGAACTAGTGCATTTAATGCCAGCGCTCCTACAATGAGCATAAGACGTCTGGGATGGTCAAGCCTATTCGCTGTGAGTAAAGCGTGGTCCGATTTTCATGACAGCAAGGTAGTCATGGAGTAGGTAAAATTGTAGGTAAAATCTCAGGGTCGTTTCCTCGTCTGGAAGCGTAACTGTAAATTCCGGTTTTAAAATGTTTACCTTTTTTCAAATATAATTGTGTGTCATGGGCATGTGCTCACAGAATCAAACATTTGTTATTGTGAGTCAGACATGATCGATAACTAGCTGTGCTTCCATATTTTACCCGCGCTTAACTGCATATAACTTTCTTAAGTTAACGTCATATCAAAACCACGCAGTGTAAGGGAATGGTTAACAATAAACGCCCTTTAGAGGCATTAGAAAAATGTTCATGTCGCTTGTTTTCTGCTAAATCCAAGATAGCTGTAGGTGACTTGAAATCTAACTGCTTTGAAGTCCGCTATTTACGCTCTCGATTTCCAATAACGCTGCTGGTAAGTTATGCCTTCGGACGCACAAAGACTGTTTACAAACTGTCATAGCCGAACACAATAAGGTAACTTTGATGAAATAACAATAACAATTGTTACCGTTACGTTAATCTCAGTTAACACTCGATTAACATGGTTTTACTATGTTAATCGTCTAAGTCTCTCCTAAATCTCTTACATTATAGCTCCGTTGCTCTATTGCAGGGACTTTTAGTATTCGGTTCTGAAAATGGACCAAGGCAACTTACCACCAAGCACCGTCTGTCATAGGATGTTATAGATAGGCTGGTGGCAGGTAAGCACCCCATTGCTTAGATTAACAACCCAGCGTCACTTCACGCCGCCGCTGTCAGAGCAGTCTCAAAAACAATAGCGGCGCCATGCTGGGCTGTCAATAGCCCGTATGCAGATGATATCCAGAAGCCCGAACGGAAACTCTCACAGACGCTTACATAGACGAAATTTCCTTACCCTTAATCACTAGACACGATCGCGGCGTTATTCGCGTTTAATATCCAGTAGCAATGGGAGATAACCGAAGGCGCTAGATATTAGCAACGACTTGTTGTAAACTTCTTTTGTTTAATGCTTGTCAAGGTAAACTGTTCTATTTAGATATCTCTTGTATTTAGATATTCATCGATTAATCGGGTTCGAGCAATCCTCCGGCAAAAATTTATCAGTTTTCTCATCCGGGGTAGAAAACTTAATGATATAAGGTGTAAGATATAGATTTTGCTCAAACTAGGTGTTTTGCACCCCTGTACTTACTGGGTATTCTAATTGAGCGTATGCTAACACTTGGACTTTGAATTGACGTTTTATCTTTCCTTTGTTAACTGTCTGCATACATTAGGTGATCTGAGTCGTGCTGGCATTACAATGAATCAAAATGTTGTATTTCTAACGATTTCACCACAGCCATAGTTAACTATTCAAATGAACTTGAAGCGCTACTATTCATATCGTTTCGTAGGTACAATGTCAGCAACTTCCCTCTGGCTTTGAATCTCTGGTGTTTAACTTTACAGCAGTTAATAACCCAAATAGAATATCTAAATGCCTCCGATTTCGTACGACTCACACATGGTCAATCGTAGATGACCCAGTTCAAACTCGACCAACGTATCTTCGAACAAGTGAAGAATGCTTATTATGGCAATCGACGATCGAAGACATGCAACCATAGTCATCTGACAAAAAAAAAAAAAAAATATGGTATACTCTATAGAATAGTTCTTTTAGTTCGAAAAAACTTAAAGTCAATTGCAAAAGGTTCTCTCCATAAAGCAGAACTGTTTTAGGGTAAACGAACGGCCTAGTGCTATCGACGTATTCATGTTTTGTGACGCTCAAACTCGATACGGGAATCCCCTTAGTCTCCTAAGGGTGATAGGTGAGCGAGATGGCGTTTAAGCTGCAAATATTATCCTGAAATGATTCAGTGAGCAGTAGTTTACCTTGCTTACCAATATCGTCTAATTTTTGATATCCTTTTAATCAGGGTGTAGTAAAAAAAATAGACAACGCTGAATACTTGCCAATGGTGGTGAGTGTGATAAAGCAGTAATAGAACGAATCAAAATAGTCCCATCCTTCGTATGCGGAAAATGCAGCGGCGCCCGTTGTCATAACAACGGTTGACAATATTGAAACGAAGCAGACAAGGTTCGTTTCCGACACGTCTGTGTTCCGTAACCTAAAATGCGACGTAAAAAACGAAAAGCGAGCACTATTATAGACCAATGAAAACAGGAAAGAGCTTGATAAAAGAATAACTGTCGGCGCGGTGGCCTAGACGGCTAAACCTCCGGCTAAAGAAAGCCATGACTGTTTCGTTTAGGCCTCACCAGCGACGTACGGTACACAAATAGCTCAATAAATAAGAAGTAGTTATTTATTTACATGGCTGAAAAGAGTAAACGCATGTTTCGAGTTTCATGTTCGATAAACATTACCGCAAACGGTTAGCTTCTACCAGCCTCAAACGAGGTCAATCCACACCTGCTTCCGAAGCTAGATTACCACATCTTACCAAAATAGACATGCGCATTACTATTACACCACTAGTGACCAGGATATAACTGAATAAACTAGAGCTACGTAACAATTTCGTCCTGGATTGGGCATTCGGGAAATACAGGGTTAACATCTCTAATTATACGGACCATCTGTTACATAGATCTTCTATAATAGCATGTACTACTAGAGCATCCCACCAGGTGATAGTACCTGAGCAAATTATGCTTCTATGCACCATACGCGTTCTGTTTCGTAACACGATTACGCTACCAGGGCGGCAGACCAGCGTGCAAACAAAAAGTAAATACATCGTAGAAAATCTGTTTTTTGTCGTGTATTTCCTTGCACATGAGCACTATAGTATTCTTTATATATGTATGAACTCACGATAGAGTCTGCAACGAAAAGAGAGTAGAAAAGAGGACTGCACTCAGCGGCTGTCCTGTTAGAGCAGCGCAATCCTGTTTCCCGCAGGATCAAGGATCAACAGGATTGAGCAGGATCAAACGTCAACGGTTTTGCCAGATATATACAAGGTGACGAAAAGTAGCGAGCAACTAGAGTGTCTTAGCTGTGTGAGAACAAAGCCTTAGTCTGCTTTTCACATTTGAGCTTTTTGGGTTGGGGTAGGGTCTAGGGAGGGGAATGCGGTGACCGAGGAGCCGTCATCATCGTCATTTTCGTTGCATCCGCGCATTTTTATTCATCCATCTGTCCGTCCATCCACATCAAGAAGCAGATTTGCCACAGGCAGCAAGCGGGAGCATGCCTTTGCTACATTTCTGCCAGCTGCTTGTTATCAGCTACAAACCCAAATGCATGGCAGATAGGTGATGCGATTGGGGCGGCAGCGACAACAGTGGTGACCACACGAAGGTCACGTACATCTCGGGTACTGGGGCGGGCGTGGGGGGTTGCTGTTAGTTGCCTCATCTCCCATTCGCTTTTTTTGTTTTGGCGACATCCAGCTAAAGCTTCGTACGTCATCGTTAGATAGAAAACAAAGGGCCGAATAAGAAGCTGTGGAGAGAAATATCGCCGCCGGGATTCTTCCTTGCCTTGATACACGCACATCCTGGACACCATCTAGTCTAACATGGATGCGCCTCCAGGAGTTTTTGTCCTAGGACTGCCTTAATGGTATTGTTACCCTTTCATTCTAACCTTCTTTCCTCTCCATTGGCTATTAGAGACTCTACTGCAGGAAGTGTTCAATAGTCATGTCCCGAAAAATTGACGAATGGCTTGTGGGTAAGCAAGTAGCCTGATAAGTCAGGTGAGGTGGACGGCGACACAGCTCTTGTATCGGCCGGTCTGTGCTTGGCCTGTTTGTGCATCTTACGTGCGTCACCCTGCTTGCTGGCCGTGCCCTGTGTGATGGCAGATGTTTGTAGACCGACACAGGTATGTAGGGGTAAACTTGTGCTTCTCCCACTAATACTAGTATGTATCATAGTCCAGTTAGTTTACCCCACGAAATTGCTGGCGGCGAAGACGCATCTATCCTCGCTTACCCAGAAAGAGTGCAATAATGACTATTTCAAAAATACATTTAGTTTTGTTAGAATTCAGTAGAAAGGCACAAAACCTCAAGCAGATTTAAGGAAAATTCGCCTGAAGTGAAGACATTTTACATTGTCAGAACGCCGGAAGAAACACAAACAGGTCCTTCTTCAAAAGCAACGAACTACTCAAAAGTTCTCGACTCGTAAAAACTGTTCTAACGAATATATATATAC